GAGTAGAGAGCATAAATGAAATCAATGACCCTAACCTCAAAACCCACAGCTTTCCTCTTGTGCTCTGTTTCACAACCCAACCCATATCCATCAGCAAGGGCTGTGGACAGCTAGCCAGTCAGGCCTGAATCGCTACCTTGAGGCCTGAAGAGTAATCCACAATGGCTACACGTCTGAGCAAACCTATCCGACAACATTCCAGAGCTAGGAAGGGAGGTGGCTGCGTTAGGGGGTGAGGTCTTCACTGCTCCGGAGAGCGGGCACCATCCCTTTCCCATGCTGAAAGAGCAGCAATCGGGCAACCTTCACGCTGCCTAGATTTAAGCGGGCAGGATCAGCGGCAGACGTGGCTAATAGCTCTGGCAAACCACAAAACGATCACCAAGTACATAATTAATCTCTTTCAAGAAGGGTGCCTCATCATCTTAAAGCTGTTACCCTTTATCATGTCTGGGCTTCATTGATCTGATGTCTCAAGTTTCACTGGCAAGTGTGAGTATGGTGCTCAGTAAATCTCAGAATTCTCAGTTCTTTAAGAAGCGGTATTTTTTAAATATTCATTTGCTTTCATTGTTTCATTCTTCTAGGTCTTTCTCCTCAATTAGAATCTCTTCTAGGGCAATTCTTTCAACCCCTTCACCATATCCTCCTGTACGCTGATAAAACTCATTTGTTAAAAAATCATAACAGTTTTGCAATTCTGTAATGTGATACATTCCAGAGGCTCAAGCTATGAAAGGAATTCCTGAATTTCATGATAATTTATGAACAACAGCTAGCACTTACTGAGCACATACTACATGCCAAGGCAGATGCTGTTATAACCTCCACTTTACAGATAAGGAATCTGTGGCACAGACAAGTAGGGGAACTTGCTCAAGGTCCCACAGCTAACAAATGACAGAGGCAGGATCCGAGCTCAGGCGGATGGACAAGAGTCCCTATTTTTAACTACTACTACTACACTAGATGTCTTCATTAAGCAGAGAAGAAAAATTGAAGATTAAAAAAATACATTACAAATAATGGAAAATGGAACAAGGAAAAAGCCTCTCAAGGAAAATTGCTCTTATTACTTTAATTGAACCGTGGTCTTTTATTTGACAGATCCAAGTCCTGGAAACACAACGAATGGAGGGAGCCTGTCCTGGCTGGTCTAGGCTCCTTTCGCAGAAGATGGAAAACCCCAATTGTCAAAGCTGTGCTTTTCTGCTGTCTTTTAGCGCCTTCAAAGTGGTCTGTCAGGGTCATAGAGATCATTCTCTTAGTGGCTGGGGTATCTGGATTTGAGGGAGGATGAGCTGGGAGAGATGGAGCTATAAGACTGTTTGGGTTGGTACCAAATCTTGCCCCGTTCCAAAGAGCCAAAGGGATTCTGGTGAATTCTAGGCCAAGCCGCTGATTGAGTCTGACCCAAAAGAACCACCCAGAGCAAGCAACCCACACAGGGAAGCTGGAAGGTTCCACTTTCGCTGACTGAAGCAGGTAGACCAGGGATCCTCAGGGATACCTCCTGACTGCCGCTCTCCCGCCCCAACTTTCTCTTTTCCTTTCTGTCTGGCAGGAAGTTCTGGGGCCAAGCCAGACTCCAGCAAATCTGTGCGGTCCAAGACCAGTGCACCATCTGATGTCATCCTGCACCATCTGATGTCAGTGTACCCACACTGACCAAATGCAGTCCATCGGACATCCAGCCCAGGCAAAACGGAGTCTGGTGGCTTTAAAACCAAAATCTGTGCTGAAACAGATCCTGGGGATCGACTCTCCTAGTCTGACACCTAAGTAACTTATCCTCATCTGAAGGAATAGATCAAATCCCTAAACTTTCCAACTATTCATCCCATTCTCTCTCTCCAGAAATCTGAAAAATGTCTACTAACAAAACAAAAAGCAAACCTACTTATTAAAACAAGTCTAACTACCTTAACTTCAAGATTATATGTTTTCTGACAAAACTGCTCTTATAAAGGCACTCAAAGTTCTATTATCATCTAATTACAATTTCTATACAGCTATTTATATGGGTGTGCTTGGAAGCCAAAAAAATGAAGCTTCAATTATTTTTGCACCCACCACAAAAGCAAGTAGAAACAGGACAACCTTTCATTGGGAATTTTTTTTTTTTTAAAGATGCTGGAGTCCTTTTATTCGCTGTTTTCTCACAGCTCCAATCAAGGTGAGCAGGGCCAGGCAAAACCCAAGCATAACATATATGGTCATCCCCAGACTTTCTTACTACATAAAGGGGAAATTAATAAAAAAAGAAAAAAAATACCACACAGCATTTTCTTTCCCCACCATAATTTTTCAATTTTCTTTAGAGTAATGCCAGCCAATAACTAATTAGAACCATATCCTTTGTCATCCCAATGGGAAGAAGTATATGAATGGTTGTAAAGAACAAAAGTTAATGAGAACTTTAAAAAATTAGTAATCTGGAACTCTGGTTGCCCCTCAGTGTAAAACAAATTCTGTTCTTTGAAACTATTTTTATAGTTGGTGAGACAACATGGACAGGGTCCATCAAGCAAGAAGGTAAGTGTTTACCCACTCAGCACCCTGAACTGGGGATGCCCTGGCCTTTTTCACGGTTTTTACCATGAAGTTGCCATCACAAGCTCACAGACTTCCTTCTAAGCATCTCGATTTCAAACAGGACAAAAACTCAAAATTACAAAAAAAAAAAAAGGAATTGTTTATTCTCTTTGGTTTCAAGGAAGAAAATACTTCCTGTCAAAGTGAGTACCTAGCTTTTGTAATTTCTTTTTTTTTTTTTTTTTTGCTTTTGTAATTTCTAAGAGTATATTTTCCATAAGAAACACAGCTGAAGTCTTTTTACCTGGTATATCATGACGAATGTTTCTGGAATCAGATCTTGATTGCCTATTCGTGAGCATCCAGGAGCAGAAACTACATCCTCAAAAACCGGACTTATTTTACAGAACAAAGTGAACCACTGGATGCGAGACAGAAAAACTCTGAGCAAAAAAATACATTTTTAACATGCTAGGCACCATGGTTTGGGCATGTTAAGCATTCTGAACTGTATTTTCAGATGAGGGTCTGCCCCATGTCATCCAGACTCTCATCCTGGTGGAATGAGCAGGTCCAGACTAGGGCCACAGACCACTTTTGTGTGTGTGTGCAAAGGGACCAGCCAGGGCAGAGAAACCAGGCATGGTGTATATCATATGAAATATTCTCCTTTTCCAAGAAAAAGCTTTAAGCCTTTGCAAAACATCTGAATTTGCTCCACGTTTTTACCATCCAGCAAATTTCTTTCGTCCACTGTGAAAAACACAATAGGCCTTAGGTCTGTAACATTTTACCATCATTATATGTTTGCAAAAGCTAGAAATCATTTGTATTGCCCAACAAGGACATTATTTTAAACACACTGGTCTACAATAGAAATTTGCCACAACAATGAAGATGTTTTTTGGTAAATCACTTTCTGAACATTATTCCTCCCTAAAAGAATCATAAAACAGCCACCAAGGAAAACAAAGAATTCCCATATTTTTGAAGCAAAAAAGGACTGGCCATTCACATCCACGCACTATCAAGTATATAAATCAAATATAAGCAAAATCACCTAAAAAGTGGTTAAAATGCCAAGTTTGGCCTCTGTGTGGTTCGTGAGCCCATGTTTTTCCAATGTTAAATTTACAAACTGCATTTGTTAAACTGTATTTCATACTTTAAATCCCAAGTCTGTAGCTTATACTGCTTGGGGATGGATGATTTACTGGAGACATCTGGGGTCACAGTATAAGCCTTTTGCTCTTACTAAATCTAAATCATGCTTCTCAACAAGACTCCCTACACATAAAAGAAGCACATGCCGTTACCATCCTTCCTAGAGGCACCTAAAAGCCCCCAGAACAGCCCTTCTGCTGTCCACTCCATAAACTAAGATTCTCTTCTGAAAGGGAAGGGGCTAGATTCATACGTTGCATCAGGCATACCAATTAAGCAAGAGCGCTCCAAAACTTGTCCTGTTTCGATTCATGATAAAATTTCCTGAATTCGTTTTGTTAAAACAGACGACATCATCCAACAGACACACTCGAAAACCCAAACTAATTTCAGCAGCAAACTGGTAGGAAGAAGTTGACAGCGAAGTATAGATTTCCCCAAATCCTCGTTTCTCCACTTAATCTGCACCTATGTTCAGCATTTAATTCGAAGTGTGCCAAGACAACCCCGACCCAGCAACTAAGAGCTGCAAGGACGGGTCTGTTCCTGTGCCTGGGAGGCATCTGGGGAGGACTGCTGGACAGGCAGACAATGAAAAGCTCCCCGGTGGCCACTAGCCGAGCCCGTGGGGGCGGAGGGGCGGAGAAGGGGAGAGGAGTGAGCGCCCTTCTCACCCAAAGCCACGGTCAGAGGCTGCCTCTCCAGGGCGCGGGGAGGCCTGGCCTCCGAGTCCCGGGTCATAGGGTGGGGGGAGGGGAGGGGTCCCCTGAAAAGCAGATTTCTCTCGGAGAGAGGAAACTTCCTGGTCTGGGCATTATGGGTAGGGGGCGAGCGCCTCCCCCACCCAGTACAGGTATCCGCCGGGAGTCTGGCGGCTGAGGGAAGGAAGCAGCCCCTCCGCGCGCCTCTGGCCGGGAGCGGGGGTCACGGGGTCGGGACCCCCAGCGCGGCCGCCCCCTATACGAGGCTCCCAGCGCGTGAGGACCTGGCTCTCGACTCCTCGGGACGCAAGCCGGGGTCGGGGGCCGGAGGGTGTCAAACTTCCCCCACGGGCGCGGCCTGGCGCCCGCACCGACAAGTTGCCGCGGGAGCCCCAACACGGCGGGGTCCTCTGACGGGGGCGGGCATACACAGAGGAAGGGGACACTGAGGGACACGAGGGGAAGTGCGTGCAAAGATACAGGAGCCGCCGGGCCGAGGAGCTGCGAGGGGTGCGGGCGGGGCCGGCGAGGACCCCGCTCCCCCCAACTCGCGGGCTGCGCACCCAGGCCGGGGGCGCCGACGAGGCCCGCGCCGCTCACCTTCCTGTGCTTCTCCTTGTAGGGCAGCGCCAACCACGGCATGTCCCGCACGAAGTCCTGCCACTGCCGCTGGTCCTGGTCCGAGGACACGAAGACGATCTCCAGGCGGCGCCGCGGCTCGGGC